AGAAGGTCAGATTTTCCTCGTGTCTAATCTCTTCTACTGAAGCGTGAGATCAGACGACACTCGGATGGATTTGATCTAAAATGGATCATAAGGTTTTACACAGACGTGTGGAGTCCGTGCCATCGAGTGCACGCTGTCATTAAAGCAAAAAGGCGACGAACCGAATACTAAAAAAAACAACTTTAAATTCATACAAATACAAACTTTTCACTCGAGTGGCTGTCAATAATATAATTTATAATGAAATCTGTTGCATTAATTTAGAAAAGAAAGCATTTTCACTGGTGCTCTCAGACTTTTGGGCCCCGCTGTACTGTATACGGTAAAAAGACTCCAGCTGGATGATGTGTGACCTGTCTGGATGGGTGTGGCCTAATATTCTAATGAGCAGGTTTGATTGACAGCACTTCTGTCAGAGACTCTCAGGCTGCTACGCCACTCAAACAAACTGCTGAAAAATCCTGTTTTAGAGGGGAAAAAAAAAACCCTGTTCTTGGATACGCTTCCTGTCAATCATTTGGGCCACTCTATGGGCCACCATAGATCCTGGGGGCGGAGCTTCGTGAACACGGGTGGAAATCATTCAACCTACCTAACCGTTAGAGACCTAATCTTTAAAATAATAATAATAATAATAATAATAATAATCTTACCTAATGCACCATTACAAGGCAGAGCTATTTCGAGGTGAAACATTCACCTGTACATCTCGATGGCGATCTCGTCCTCCTCGCTGAACTCATCCTCATTCTCCTCCAGCTCCTCCAGCGTCATATTCTCGTAGGTTTTTACTGCAGGAAACAACAACAACAACAACAACGATTCATATCACTGAATGATGCTAGAGATTTCACTTTCCGACTTTCTGCTGTAAAATCTCACCAATGGACTGCTGCTGAATGATCTGCTCCTCTTCCTCATCCTCCTTCGGGGTCTCTTTAGGAGGAAGGATTCCCTTCTTCCTGAGAATGTCATTCCACTCCGTGTCTTCATTTGGATCCTGGAGTGGAGAGGGATGGGATTTAGGCTCGGGCAGTGCAGACACAGTGAAACACACGGCTCCCACATTCCTGTTTTAGGGTTGGAGACGTTGCTGCCTCTGTAGTGCACTGGACTTTAACCTGCTGGCTTTACTGATCTCATTAAATCCATTTAGTGAGAGAGAGAGACAGACAGGGAGAGACATAGAGAGACAGACAGACAGACAGACAGACAGGGGGAGAGAGAGAGAGAGAGAGAGAGACAGAGACAGAGACAGAGACCACAGTGCCTGGACTGTAACGTGGCTTTACTGTGTGTGAGTGTGTGTGTGTGTTTACAGAGTTTATTAACAACAGACCAGTCGAACACAGCCATAACCAAACCGAAAGCGCTTTATTTATCACCGACATTATGTCTATTAAAAAGAAACTAAGCAAAAATCCAGACAAACCTGCATGTTTTCACGGCTGCCTTCCTGTCGCTGCTCCTCAACACGGAAAGAGAAAGAGCGCCGCTTATTTCAGTCCGACTGGAAAACACGTCCACGCGTTAACACACACGCCACAGCTCTTTTATTATTTATTATTGTTGGTTTTTTTTTTTTTTTTTTCCTTAGCGTAGTAACTTTGTGTTACTAAACATTTAAGAATATACCACCTCGTTGTGATACTACTGTGAAGAAAAAAACAAACAAAAGAGATTTGTTGCTGCACGGAACGATAATACTGGGAGAACCAACGTCCGCTCTGACCATATAAGGAGTTTTAACGGCTGTTCATCGCGCAGCGCGTGCTGTCAATCAAAGTGGAACTCGCTAAAGACATATAAGGGCAGGAGAGATGCAGGGAATTACTTCACCGCCGATACCGGAAGTAGATTCCCAATGACGTGACTTCCTTTGTTGTTCTGAATTCTGGAGTGGTGTAAAGGGTACTGTTGCTGAAGTAATTATTTAAGACAGGAGTAAATGTGAAAAGAGTTTTATATATAAAGTATAGTATATAAAGTAAGGTAAGTTTGGCTGTAAAGTAACATTAGCTGTTGGGGTTTCAGTACATAGCTAGCTCATGTTAATTCATACATATTTCTGTAGTTACATCTAGCAAAGATACCCCTTACACCTTATCTCAGAGATTTCCAAACAAGGGGTCGCGACCCCGTGTGTAAACCAAGCAACCCCCACATGGGGTCGTGACCCGCTAGTTTGAGAACCCCAGAGATAATGTGGAAGGGGCAGCTTTGTTGGATGTAACTACACTATATAGCCAAAAGTATGTGGACAAGCTGGCCATCACACCCAAATGTGAGCTTTGCCCAAACTATTGCCACAGAGTTGAACGTCTTTGTATGCTATAGCTTTAAGATTTCCCTTCACTGGAATCAAGGGGCCCAAACCTGCATAGTCGTGCATCAAGAATAAACCAGGCTCCTCTGCTTCATGTCAGGTCGTATCACACCACCCCAGGATGGTTCAATTACCTGTAAGAGTGCACTTATAGTCGTGTTTTATTCCTTATGTATTTTTCACAGCAGAAAGAGATATGCCCGTTCAAACACACCTCCTGAAAAGCTGTGTCAAGAAATCCTTGTGTCAAGTTCACCCTTCCCATTAGACTGGATGAGTCAGTGCAAGGATTATTCCTTTGGTTTGTAGTCACTTATGTTACACGCATGTTACTGACATGAAAAATGTTTAGATGTGACAGTAGTCCTAAATTATATATTTGAAATTAAAAAAAAAAAAAAATTGTAGGGTGGTCAAGGCTATTTATATATATTTTTTTATACCAATTTTGTTGCCATAATAGCTTCCTGATTCTTGATGAAATAGAAATCAATTTTTTCGGCTTAGAATTATGTTCAATATTCACATTCAAAATTCTTTGACCCATTTTGTTAGGAATAATATGTATATTTACACTAATTTAATTTACATTAGTGTAGCAGGGCATTGTAACTCCAATTTCCTAACGGATAATATGCAATTGGTCAATAATATGCAGATAATATGCACAAACACATGCATAGCAACAACTGTGAATCCATTCTGAAGTGCATGTTTAACTATCAACCACATCATTCCTCATAAAGTTCAGCTAGCATAAATCTCCATGTAGCCAGGGTAAACAGTTGATAAATCATTCCCTGTTAGCGAATGGCTCGAATGACAAGTTAACCACTGTTTCACTCGAATTTAATTGTGGGCTAATCTGCATGTGCAACGAGTCTCATTTGCTTTGCTATCTCCTGCAGAACAAGGTACAATTCATGGCTACTGCAATGGACGTTCTGGGAGCCTGGGCACTCTTCTTTGAATTTCACTTGGACAACACTGAATCACCTTGCAGAACTAAGAAAGATCATATTCATTAATGTGCCTAAAGACCTACTCTCTTGTGGGGGCCAGTTAGATCATTTAGTTAGAACATGGTGGAAATAGTACCAAGGATGTGGGGTTGATCTCTCAATGCATAAAGTGATGTTTTGAAGTTTGTGTGCATGCTAACTATTTTCATATATATATATATATATATATATATATAT